ATTGCGTATCGATAAAATACGCTATCATCATCGTATTTCGTATGAAAACGATTTGTTTACGAGGCCAAAAAGCTTTTTCGCAAACGGATTAATTCAACCGCGGTTACGATACAGATTTGGGAAACCCGCCAGAATTTTTGTGTTTCAATTTCCTTTCTCTCTTTTTCCTCTCTTCTCTTTCTCCTCTTTCTCTCTTTTTTACTTTTATTTTTGCGACAAATCTTGGACCAACCGTTTAACCATTATCGTGGAAATCAACTCGACTCTGCGGGAGCGAATTCGACGCGTGGTTGTCCGGCCAATAAAACACACAGTGGCGGCGAAAGGCAACGTTTCACAGCGAATAAAAATGCACGCTTCGTTGGACGCGAAATAAAAGTCGTGATACGCTACGGCGCACGATCAATTGGTCGTTCCCTCCGGAAGAGAGTTGCGGGCTAAAATAAATACATCGAAACACATCGTTCTCGTCACTAAGTAAAAAAAAAAAAAAAAAGGAATAAAACAAAACAAAAAAAAAAAAAGAATACAAAATTAAAAGAAGATACAAAGAAAGAGAACATCGGCGGAACAATATACGAATCTATCCGATTTTCATTTTTTTTTTTTCGCTTATTTCCCATTACTTCTTTCTTTCCTCTTTTTTCTTCTTTTTTCGCTATTCGTTTCGTCTTTTCGATTGCAAATTCGATTAACGCTAATCTCCTGTTCCACTCGTCCCTTATCTTATCCCTTATTATAATCGATTACCACTATTCGCTTATAACGATTATAAATCATTATTACTTCCTCCTAAACTCGAATCCGTGTAATTTTGGGCGCGTATTTCATACGGATCGCTAAAACGACACGAATTTTCACCTGACGAGCGTTGTTTCGCCGCCGTGATTGGCCATTGTTCGATTTTTTTTAAGGAAAATCATGATCGAACGGCGATAGCGAGGACGACGATGAAAATGGCGCATGACGATAATGATGATGATGATGATGATGATGATGATGATGACGAGTATTAGAAGCGGAGTAAGACGGATCGTATGATTTCCAATCGTGTTTCATTTTTCAAACGATGACAACCGGTGAAACGAAAGAGAGAAAGAGAGGAAAAAGAGAGAAGGCATGGAGATTCACCGGAATGGCGAGATCGGAAAGAGGGAAGGTCACGGAACGAGGCAGCCGCGTTCAACGAACTTGGTGCCACCACGCCGCGATAATCGGTTCGATAAATTCGCAACCTCGAAAATTAATTCGGTAAGTTTCTGATTATCGTACTATGTATAATTTATAAATATATATATATATATATATATTTATTTATTTATTTATCAATCAATTAATTGTCACGATCCTTAAAATGAGAATGAATGAGAAAAACAAATTTGTATAAATTTTACAACGTTTTTTTCATTCATAATCTTGGAAATAAAAATTAAATCATAAATTAAATCAATCGTATAAATTGAAAGCTAATTAAAAACTGTAAAATTATATAAAAATTTCGAAGAAAGGATTTCGGCAATTAATTGGTAATATATATATATATCTCGACAAGATTCTTTGTTACGTGCTTTCTCTCTTCTTTCTCTTTCCCTCTATAATTTATCATTTGGTGTTCTTTTTTACCAGTCTCATTTAATATCGGATAGCAGAGTGTACAAACATCAAGGTAAAGTTGAAATATGCTCGATATATTCGAACGTTTCTATTGCCTCGTTTCAACTTGGATATATTTGATTGTTCTCAATAACGGTTTATAAAATATTCGTCTCTGTTTTTGAATAATTCAGAGACAAACACTCGAACAGACCAGGGATTAACAATTTTTCGATTTATACAGAGATTCGTGACCGATAAATCTGTCCTTTTTATTAACGACAATCTGGACAGGACTGTCGTTGCTTCGACCCTGTTTTATAAATCAAACAACTTTCCTTCAATGTGCATATTAAAATATATACCTTGATACTACTGTCCGGTATTGTACATTGTGTGTAGGTGTGTTATATATATATATATATATATATACATAAATGTATATATTATATCAAGAGCGTACTTTTTAACACGCGTATCACATACGCATTATCACGCAGACGCATAATAAATGTATTAACACGATGTCACTCATATACATTTTCTCGCATTTTGAACGGATACAATCAATCTTCGATTTTCCTATAACGGATACTATAAATCGTCATTCTTTGTTTCTCTCGTGTAGCACACGATCAATTTCCATTTTCGTTTCTATACAAAGAAAGTCGCGTAGTTTTCACTTTTGTTTCTGATTTTCCTCGTTATTTACTCCGCTTCGTTGTGATTCAACAGTGGTAGACAGTGACTTTTACTCGTCGTTATCACGCAATTGTAGTAACGCAGTTGAGAAATATGAACAATTTTCCTGATTTCATCCTTCAGTTCATCACGCGATCTCACTTTGCATCGTTGCGATTTACCAAAGCACGCAGTTGTTTCTTTCTTTTTTTTCTCTCTCTCTTCTACTTTTGAAAATGATCGTTCCTTACTTTTTTTTACACTTTTGCGCCCAACTTTTCGCCTTCTTTTAAATTTTTTTCGCGAATCATCAGTCGAATCTTAACACGGAAGCACGCGGTTGAGCACATGCCAAAGCGGTTTTTGAAAATGCAAAAATTCACCGACCGTTTCGGTCGATCGAACCTTTTTTCCTCCTTTTTTTTTTTCGTTCGTGTATCGTTGAACGCCGCGCGTCCTATATTTTCGCGTTCATACAAGCCGAAGTGCATACCGGTTACGATACATAGGTAACACGCGGCAGGGATGGCCGGTTTGTTAAGCTTTAATATGCATTTCCGCCAGGTGAATATCGTGAAAATCTGGTGACGGCGTTTATTTTTAATAGGCAGCTTTGATGTTTCGCCCGGGGTCCTTTTAGAAAATTCATCGTCCGGATAGCTCGCACCATGCCTATAAATACCATAGATCGATGTCAGATAAGTTTTAATCGCGAAAAAAAAAAAATAGATCGTGTTTCATTTCATCTTTTAAGGCGTTTTTCATCCCCGTATATCTATGAATATATCGGTGGCAATGATGAATAACTTTTGTAATTTGTAATTTTTGGGATTCAAACGATGCGAAAGAAAATATATTTGGGATAATATAACGGGATGATAGAGGAACGAAAAAAGATATATCGCGCGCGTATTCGTTCTTTTTTCTTTTCTCCTGTTCGAATTTTTTCACGAGAAGAATCTTCGAGCACACAACGAAACACACCCTCGTTTGCCTTGAGTTAAAGCCTCGGCCTTGGAACTGCTATCCGGCGGTGTGTACGTGTTATAAGCCTAAAGCTATCGCTTAAACTTTATTGGCGACGGGACGCGCGTTGCACGACTGATAAAAAGCTATTAGGAGAAAAAAAGAAAAAAAGAAAGAAAGAAAAAATAAAAAAGGTTAAAGGAAAGAAGATGAGGAAATGCGGAAGAGAGCTACAATTGTACGTGTCTATATATAGATATATCTTGCTTTTCTTCTTTCCCAAAAAAAAAAAAAAAAAAAGAAAATAGAAATAGAAACGAAAAAGAGAAGAAAAAGAAAGAAAGGAGGGGGAAAAATGAATAAATTTCTGCGCAATCTTCTTCGAGATCAGTCAATAATGTATACACATGATTACTTTGAGCCGAAGTTTGCACCGATAACGAGCATGGACAACGTCAAGATCACAGTAAAGCGCAGTTGAGTGATCGATTAAAAATTAAGTCGAACGTAAACACTCGAGAGCGGTTAATTAAAATATAAAATAAAACTGAGTATAGTGGTGAGAGACTGCGTCTAGTCTTGTCTTTTTTTTTTTCACTTTTCTTCTTTTTTTTTTTTTTTTTTCTTTTTCGTACGAGCCAGTATGAAAAGTGATACTTATTATTTTATTACAACAATGACACACATACGTTTTTCCAAGCACGTTCAACGCGTTCTTGTAATATTTTTTGTGCCAGCGCGATGACGACGACGACGACGACGACGACGACGACGATGACGATGATAACAACGACGACGTTCATTGAAAATTTCGCTTGTTGGGGACGACTAGGATCGTAAATAATACATGCGATCGCTTGCTTGTGTATCTACGAGAAAACAAGAGCCCGAACTTATATAGGAAGGTATTGGCAGTGGTATTGACGATCGATCTTTGATCACGCAGACATTGCTTGCTGTATAACGCGAAAAATCCAGGTGAAACTAAATCCGACGCGACCAATAAAGATCGATCGGCGGATGCTTATGCGTTTCCTCCACGTTTCTCGACCAGCGGATGGATGAGCCTTTACATGTTATATACACGTTACAAAAAGAAAAGAGAAATAATAAAAAAAGAAAGAAAAAAGAGAAGAAGAAGAAGAAACGAATCGATATTCGTTCTCTCGTAAAATTAATCGAAAGCATGTATATTCTACGAAAAGAGAAAGTAGAAAAAAAAAAGAAAAAATATATAAAATAGAAAGGAACAAAAATTCGTAATCGTAAAAAAAAAAATACGTAAAAATAAAAGAAAAAAAAAAAGGAAAGATACTATTGTCTACACTGTAATATCGTGCATATCGTTTCACGAGATTATTCATTTGTTCATTTTCACTCCTTGTAACGCATTTCATTTTCTTTTTTTTTTTGTCTTTGTTATTATTATTATTATTATTTTAGCTGACTACTTCTTACTACGCGCGTGGTAGTATTTTTTTTCTTGTTCTCTCTCAGTTAGCGTTACAACGTATTATAATATATATATATATAGACGCATTTTATGTATATATATCTATATATATATAATATTTATATTTATCTATAGCGTTCACCAACGTGAACCTCAATACACTTAAATCCCATATCACAAGATATCTTGTTCAGTATCACGATTTAATTACGTCTCTGTTCATTGTGTTTATTTTCCCTCCCCCCCCCCCACCCATCCCCATTCGTTCTTTTATCAAGCTTTTCAACTCAACTATTTTTTTTTTTCCTTTCCCCTTTTTCACATAATTGATCGTTGGCTAATTTATCGCCATCTTTTCTTATTTTTCGCCTCGATGGTTCTCTTCTTCCCCCTCCCCTCCCTTATCATCGATACATCACATCCTTGCTTATTACGTCATCGTTCTCTCCTTGTGATAGTCACTCATCCACATCTCGCACGCGTCTCCTCCCGTTTCACAACGTTTCCTTTCGATAATATAATCGAGGATCGCCCCCTTCTTCGTCTTCAATCTATTCCATATCGAACTAAAATTAGCATGATTTCGCTTTGTGCCGGGGTCGTGATCGGATTACACTCGAAGGATTTCCTTCCAGGGATTTGCGCATGTCGATTCGATCGTTCCCCACCATCGTTTTCCTTTGAAAAAATTCCCGTTAAAATGCAATAAATCGGGCAATCTATCGTCGCACGATATCGAATCGCAAAACGAATTTTTCGCCCGGGGCGAGTTTCCGTTCAAACGGCGAAGGCGCGAAATTCGAATCTCCCGAATCGTTTTTCGATCCGATCCGATTCTCGCGATAAATGCATTGTGCAAGAGATTGATATGAAATGCAAGATTAAGAGAATAACGACCCTCGAGTCTTTCGTTGGCGAGTGCGAATCGATGACGTGTAAATGCTGATAAAAAGGAATTATGAAACGTGTAATGCAATAATTCGGGGGCAGTTGTCGAATGATCTTAAGATTAAAAAAATATTATTGGTCGATAAAAGATCTTAAAAATATTGATTAACATTTGCTTAGAATTAGAAAAATGGAAAAAGTTAAAAAAAAAAAAAAAATTAGTCTAAATCGCATTATTAGGAACGAACGAGAAGAAAGTTCAAGGATGAAGCGATTGCGAGCGAGTCTTCTTAATTCAATTCTAAAATTGGACGAGTATTATCATAAAAATATTAGCCATATAAATTGCTAACATGTGCGTTTATCAAGCCACGAAAGCACGATTCCCATTTTTCATTCCCTCGCAATCTGTTTTTTTTTTTAGTCCGACAGGGAAAGAATTGCTCGCGGAATCGTAGGATCAAAGTTCGTATTAGCACGAAATAATTTAACGCGGATAAATATTTGCTTTGAAATGTTAAATAAATATAAAAAAAAAACAAGTAAAAAAAAAAAAAATTAACAAACACGGATAAAGAAACATAAACGCGCAACATATATTATTATTCCACACACTCCTATCTTATCAATTTCAGTTTCTTTCAATCCGATATCAATGATCGTTCCTTTGTATTCTCAAAAAAAGAAAGAAGAAAGAGAGGGAAAAAAAAAAAAGAGCATCGTGATTTTTTTCCTCGACGTCGTTCGATCGACGCCTCGTTCGAACTGGGGGACAAACTTGACCTCGTTTAATTAACAATTAACGGTTGCCCGCTCGATGGAAAATCAACCTTTCCTTCCGCTCGATATTGATAGCATTACGGTGGAATCTTCTGACCTAAAAACCATCTTGGATGACTCTATTCAGCGAGATGCCATGCCCCCCGATTATTAGATCTCTCGCTGAACGTGAAAGCCACCCTCCTCGTCGTATCGCGGCGCCTCGCTATAACGTCTAGATCTATCCACATAAACGAAGTTCGCCGCGCGACCTTCCTTCCCCGTGTCTATATATATAGTTATAGAGATAGGGGTCGGGTTCGCGTCAACTAAATAAACCCTCTCGACTATTACTTCTCACCTCGGGAGAATCGATTCATCGACATGGCGCAAATCTTTGCCATCCCCCTTGGCACGATAACCTCCTATTGCCTATTATCCTTCCTATTTACGTTATATTAGGATGCGACGCGTGAACGTAACTCGTTGTTAACGTGTATACAACAAGGGAGGCGCTGATCTTAGCGAATCCGGTAATCGGCCGGAAAAACGAACGCCTAAAAAGCAATCGTCCCCGACTAAGCAACCGGATCGTGCACACCCCCTCCTCCCTCTCGAGCAAACGAGAAATGGATCTTGAGACAACAAGCAAATTGGAGAGCAACGCGAAGCAACGTCGCCAAGCTAGGTGAGGTACATGATTCGAGGTATCGCGATTGATTTTTTCCCAGTTCCTTCACCCCCTTCAGCTTCAGTTCTCTTTGTCGTTATTCCTTTTTTTTTTCATTTTTTTTCGGTTTTTTCTTTTTTTTCTTTTTTTTTCGCTTTTCGCTTTTTGTAGTAACATATCGCGTAGATCACAGTAGTATCCGGAGGTCGAAGATGAGGCCACTGCTATCTCTCTCTCTTTCTCTCTCTCTCTCTCTCTCCTTGACTCCGAGGAATCTTTTTCTCGTAACGAGCGACCACATATTACCACACAGGCAGGAACACCGTTAATATCTCGGTGTCGTTCGACAACGGGTACTTACAACGCGTGTCGAGAGACGACATCATCAAGATAGTCAGTCGATCTGAGACAAATCATCGAGACACGAGGTCACGGGCGATCACGGCAACATCGGTAAACGTGTTAGAAAAAAGTAATAAGAGCGATCTCGTGTTTCGATGAATCGTCTCAGTTCCACGATAATGTCCTTGCTAATCATTGTCCACCGTCTCGAGCCACTCGAGAAACGATATGCTCCATCCGTTGGATCCGTGGGATCCATGAGAACCATGCGACCCTTGGGACCCGTGAGATCCGTGCGAGCCGTTGTTGTGCTGCTGTTTCGTTTGATGACTGTGCTGCTGTTGAGGCTGCTGTTGTTGCGGTTGTTGCTGCTGTTGTTGTTGCTGTGGCTGCGATTGCTGTTGACTACCACTAGTACTACTGCTACTACCGTCACCACCACCACCACCACCACCACCACCACCACCACTACTAGCATCACCACTAATAGAGTTCAGCGACGGATGACTGCTGACGGTCGCTTGATGATTGCTCGCCACCGTTTGATCCCTTCCTCTTCCTCTTCCACCGTCGTTACGTTGCAATGCCGAGTATATGGTAGACATGGTATGGAAGATGTCGTTCAACTGCTTCACCTTGTTCGTATTATTCTCCGTATTGTTGGTCGACTGCAACGTGCTCGACTTGGTCGAACTTTTGCTACCGGACGCGGAAGTACGGAGGCCGGAAGCGGAGGTGGGCGGCGCGGAGGCAGCCGGCAACGCGGGCAAAGCGTCGTTCGTTTTCTTTGGAAGCTCTGGCAATCTACGGCGCAGCCATCTGTGTTTCAACGCTTTGCCGGGCGTCATACGCTGTTCCGGGTCCCACTTCAGGCAGCGATGAATGAAATCGAGGAAATACGGGTCGTCGCAATTTTTCAATACCTGCCTCAGATCCCTGGACCCGGGTGGGCCACGGTCTTTGCCTTTCCTCGAGAAACCGCCGTTCAACACGATCGAACCGTCGGACATGGTTATAACGGTGCAATAGCGTGGATAACCCTTGGAGCTGATGAACTGCCTACACCGTTTCGCGGATTCTAACAGCTGAGGCGGAGGCATGCCTAGCAACTCGATGATACAGGCCAGCTGGTCGGACTCGTCTTCGCCTGGCAGCAGCGGGAAACCGGTAACCAGCTCCACCAAGATGCAACCGAGGCTCCACATGTCGATTGGCATTCCGTACTTCGCGCCCAGGATCACCTCTGGCGCGCGATAGAAGCGACTTTGAATGTACGTGTAGACGCGTTGGTTCTCGTAGCAGCTCGAACCAAAGTCTATCACCTGGAACAACAACACAAACGGAAACGGGTTTTATCGGGTTCAACCGTGTATTTTATGTGTAATGATATATCATACGATTGCGATTACGAAGTGATCGCGATCATGGAGTCTGCTACTCCATCGTTTGGGATCGTTTCTTTTTCCGCCCTTTTCTTTTACCTTTATTTCTGTCCGCGACAGAATTGACGTGTTAACGATACCGATAAATCTCCACTGCGTCTCATACCGTTATTGATGGTACAAATAATACCGTTTCAATTGTTCCAAACGTAGACACGTTGATGGAATATCATATTATCATCTCTCGCAAACTCTAATACCATTCGAAGTCCTGGAACTTATCGAATCGTATCGTGAATATCGTACGTGAACTGAATGAAATCGAAGCCCGTGTATCGTTTATGACACACGTTTTGCAGGGGGAACGTGACAAAATGACACGAAAGAACCGATTTTTTCCTCTATAAACTGGAAAATGAATAAAGGCTCGATTATTTTTGGACCATGGTTTTCATGCAAGGATTAATATTCGTTCGACGTTCGATCATTACAAACCGTTAAGATGTTTGTGGCGCGGAATAGAGAAGATCGAGCAAGGCGGCGGATAATTTTGTGCGATCATATCTGTTTTTGCTACCGGCCTACTTTAATATTTCGGGTAACATCGAGTGCTCCCTCTCTCTCTCTCTCTTTCACGTGCGGCAAACAAGAACGTCACATTGGAATTTATCCAGGGTTATAGCGGTTAGCTCGATTTATTGGCTAGGATCTGTGCGAAATTTCAACGAGATATCGTGGTATTGATAATTAAGAGATTATTCTTCGCGTGGACCAATTCGATAAAGTATATGATCTTTGGAAGAGAGTGTCTCCTGTTTCGACGAAAGAATACAGATCTTCGCGCTTAGAAGAGTCAGTAAGAGAGTGTCGCGTATTTGCGTCGAATGAAGTAATTAAGAGGCGAGCGTTGGTTAGAGGATAGAATTCATTTATCAGAACGTGGATCCCTATTCTTCGAACGAGATAATGGAACTTCCTATTGTTCGCTCCAAATGTGTTCAGATAAATGGAATTCCGCTACACATAATCGAAAGTCTTAGTATTCTAAGAAGCTTTAGTTTTCAACGAGATATCCTATATATCAGAGAAAGATGCATAAACGTATGGGATCAACGATCGAAATGAACAATACAATGCAGTATTAAATTAATACAACTTTGTATTTGGAACTTTGACAATTACTTCTCTACCTATTATTATTATAATTATTTTCTTCGCGCCGTAGTCTATTCCAAACGAAATTTATCAAATTACGATAAATTTAAATTTTCCAAGTACACGCATTGTTTCTAATCTATACAACAATTTTTCAATTTTACGATCTTACAAATTCTACAACGCGCTTTCACGCGCATTCCTACGAACGCACCTCAATCACTATAAATCCGATATTCAAGCATAAACCACCAACTCCTCTTCCATTCGATTCTCTCAAACGCTTCTCATCCATGCTGCAGTATCCACGTATCATCGCTCGAACAACCTCCGAGAAACAATTTAATCCACGCTATCCTTACACGCACGTACTATTCGCCTTGGAAAAAAAGAAAAGAGAGAGAGAGAGAAGAAAAAAACATTTCCCATGAACATGTTTTCTCAATGGGGGGCCCCGTGCGTTCCCTTATTAAATCCACGCGGCAAAGCCTGAGAAAGATATTGATTTTTCGCGTGAAAACGTCCGCGCGGCCAAGATATGCTCGCTCGCCACATTATGCACGAAAAGACGTGGCAAAACGACTCGCACGATCGGGTTCCCGCGCGTCAACGTAAATAGAAAGTGACACGGTTGATCGATTTCGACGGAAGCCCGCCGAAGGGTACGTTCTTTGACGGAAGTCGGCCCTGGAGGGACGTCGCCCTGTCACTCTCCGTTGGAAAACACGCGTTCGAATGTGGGTCCCCTGTCTCGTATCCGTCCAACCTTTTCCCACCGTGGAATTACTTTCTTGAAACAGTGTAAACAAGCACCAACTTCCGCGAGCGAAGTTATCCGGCGTTTTTCTCTCCTTCTTTTTCTTCTTCTTCGTTACTTTTTAATTAATCGCGACGCACGTTGCGGATTTACGATCTCCTCGTTCGCTGATATTTCTTCACGGTGGGAAAGCATAATACATGTGCAAAATACATGCTCGAATAAAATATCGGTGAAATTCGATTTGAATCCATTACTCGTTTCATTTTTATTTTTTCCTTTTCTTTCGTTTCAGACAAACCGGCCGAGTTTGTAAAGGAAATATTTATAAAGGAACCACAGAGCTACGTGAAACGTTCCTGGGAACATTTCCTGCCGATGGATTTGTATAAGCAGTATAATTTACGGGACAGTTTGTGCGTTCGTTCACACTAACGTGGAACCATTTCTGTCAAGGCTGCGAATTTCAGCGGTTTTTCTCCTTTCCCTGATTTATCTTACTTTATTGTTACCCGACACCGGAACAAATTTTTCAAACGTTTCTCTTTTGAACCCTCTCGAATTAAAACTCTCGAACAATCGTGAAGAAATTTCTTTTCTATCACGATTGAAATTACCAATAACGTAAATAATAACGCAAATTAACGGAAGCCTAGTGGGATGGCCGATGCGTTTTCGAGAGAGGGATCCCTCGCTCTTCTCTCGAGATGTTTTATCGTGGCCCGTGAAATGAGATACGAGGAGAAAAATGTTTATTCGCGGTTTCCCTTTCATTCCGTTGCGGGAACGGCGATAAAAAGAGGCTCGTTCCCCTAATTGGAGCGAGCTGTTTAGCTTTCGAGGTAACAGGTGGTATACCTGTGCGCGCTACTTATTCAGCGCGCGCGGCTTCACCGGAGAAAAATCTTTCGTTCGAGATCTATCCGCGTTGTTGTTCCCCCTTCTGGGGGGAGGGGACGTCTACCGGTCGGATGGAATTGGAATTCGTCGAAGTAGAATTGCTTCCAATATCTTTCGCAACCTTTTCTTCGCAACCAACCGCAGGAATTCTCTCTTCGCGCGAAAAATATGGAGATAATAATTTAGGAAGCACGATAATGGATGTAATAATAATAATGATAATTTTGATTTTAAATAGACATGTATATTTTTCTTTTTATTTTGTTCTTCTCAATAAGCGCGAGTTGGATGGGATAACGTTCGAAGGAGAGCAAGAGGGGAACAAGAATTTGAAGAAATTTCAATTAAAAGCACGGTGGTGCGCGTTCGACATATCCGTATTATAATGAACGGTGGTTCGTAATAGTCGTCAGTTGACGATCGATTTTTTTCATCGATACGAACCTTGACCTTTGTCGAAATTTCCTTTTTAAATATGTCTATAATCGGCAGATTTACATTATAATTATTCTTATACCGTTGGAAATTGCAAGTATAATAAAGGAAATTTGTATATCTAATTTAAGATTATGCATCGCGTGTACTCCCCACGGTCTTTCCGACCACGGGCCTCGGTTTAAAATTAGAAATGGCTATTAATTTCGAGCGTGGAGACGCGGACACGGAGTGTCGTTTGATGTATGAATCGAATATAAGGATGAATGTTCGAAATCAGAGATTATAATGCGGCAAGAGAGCGCGTGTAAAGGTCAAGGTTCGTTTACGGATTATTCTCTTTAATTCAGACGGCTATTTAGGAATTCGAAACACGCGGAAACGGACAATGTAATCCGGATCGATATCGTGTTATCATTGATGTACATATGTATATTATAACAAGGGAGATAATACGCACGAGATTCGATTTACCTTGACATAGATAACAGAAAAGCGTTTTCGTACGCAACGAAAACACGTTGCGTAATATTACGTATATGTATATACGTTTGTTATATGAAGAGAGATTAAAATTACAGCGTCGATGCAATGTTATACACGCGTAATCGAAGAAGTGAACGAGATCGCTCTTCGTAATGAGTCGTAACGCAGGAAGAACGGGCAAATTGAATATTTCCACGATGAATAAGCCCGTTGCAGGTGTAATTAATATGCATCGGTCGAATGCTTGGTAAGATGCATTTTTCTGCACCCTTGCTCTGTTGGAATTGTTCCATTGTTTTTTTTTTTTTGTAAGTATAAGTGCAAAAAATTGATTTCTTTTTTTTATGTTATTACTTTACGTAATGGTTTAATTAATATATTAATTAGAGTATCGTGTAATTCACATTTATTGTTTTTTAAACATAATTAATTGGCGTTGCTCGATGAATTTTTAATCACTATTTATTTATTTATTTATCGCGAACTGTAAATTCATAAAATTCACAACGTGGAATTATCAGAATTTACGTTAATCTAGGAAGATCGTCTGATTTTGTATACGAATCCATCTGTCCATAGGAGCATAGGAATTGTGTTATTATAGCATTTAATTCGATCAAATTCAAATATTCATCCGATACTTTAAATACTCGATTCATCTGAATATCCAATCTTTTAAGAGTTCGTAGAGCAGTAAACGAATGTCTAAATGCGAAAGGAAATCCCTTGAAATATTATATATAATTATATATCCTTGAATTCTCAATACTCTAAAACTCATTTATACATTAAATAATCTCTAACATTTTTCTACTGTGATCCTTTCTATTTCATTCGTCGAAATTTCACAAATTGAAAACAATACCCAATGTCGATAATATAATTTTGCATCGTGAATCTTCGAAAGAAATTTTAATAATATGCGCACGTCTGTGCAAATTTGGGATTAACGACCCTTCGCATAGTTTGCATTTACTCTAAGAACGATCTAAATTAAATCCCACGCATACCGCGTGTAGACTTGAATGACCTATATGTGTCCAAATCAAATCCAATGAATCCGATATTATGATTTATATTGAGTATAATGAAGCCAGCGTTGCTTGCATCGAGTTCGACGAACCAGCGGTTGCCTGTATTGAATGTAATACGTTCATATCGGATCCAATAATCCTAATGTTGTCCGCATTAACTCTAATGGTTTCAA